TAATAAAAATAATTCAATTCAATTCGGAGGGATTACAAATTCTGTACGATATTTTAATGACCATGAACAGACTCGGGGCAGAGTAGTCGAGGTCAGGTGAAAACAAGGTTAGAAATTTGATTCAAGAGACTTTCAATTTATTATAATAAGAAACTAGCATGCTGTTACTTTGTCTATACATTATCGATAATTTAAATTCATTGTTTATATTTCTGAATTGGAAGCTGAAATAAATCATCTTGAAAAAAAAAAAAAAAAGAGCATGTCTTTGTCGAAAAAACTTAATGCTACTGCAGTCTGGCGCTTTAACCTTGGATCACCCTGTATAGTCGACTTAAACGAGGGTCTAAGTCGAAGCGTAGAGGCGGGGGATTATCAAAGCTCTCGAAAAATCGTGATTCTCAAAGTGCCAGCACTTATGTTTCGAGCAGTTAAGACAATAGGAAAAACTCTGGTTTCCGAGAAGTTTATAAGTAGGTTGTGCGCAAGCAACAGGTAGCGAACAGAGAAGCCGGGCCGGGGATTTTTGGCGGAACTTACATTTGGCTCTAATTTCGGATCGATACAAATCCTATTAATCAGAAACTGACAAACACGGCGAAGCCTCTTGAGATACGTCATAATGCTGCAATATAAGCGGTTTTTTCGATGATTAGGCCCGGAAAAACAGGAAATTTAAAACGAAGTGAGAAGTTGACATACAGCGGGCTGATGGTCGAAATTGATGGACGAAGCGATAGATAAAGAAGACAGGGAGTATGAAGAGATCCTTTTGGTTGAAATGGGTGGTTCTTACATAGACTAAGGGAGAAAATGATGCATGGACTAACTAAAGGGTCTCTCATGGGTTGCCGTTAGTTAGTCTATTCCCCACCTCCTTTGTCTATAGTAAGCACCCGCTTCCACCAATAGGTTCCCTCCATATCCTTTTCATCTTCTTCGTCTATAACTTTGTCTATCAATTTCAACAATCAGCCCGCTGCTTTAAATCCAAATCACTTCGCTCACAAACTTTAAGTTACCGCCGGTAAGTTACAAATCAGCCGGGGTGGGCTGAGTCCCGGCTGTGGGGGTTCCATGGAAGGGTTTGAAATGAGATTGGCGTAAATGTAAATAACCTCCATGCAAAAGAGTTATAAATTGGAGTGTATTTACGTGTCTTTGAAGCTATTAAACTATCGCTCAATTAAAGTGAGCAACTGAACTTATGACCCGTCAATATTTCACTATTCACTAGTGAAAAACACTTAATCGACGTTTTCCTGTCATTAGGACAATATTTGAATTACATTCAACAATTAAGAACTAGTGTTTAAGGCCGCAGTTTCAGAAAAGCTCTAGAGATCGCGGTTCCTTCTTGCAAGCCGTGGTCCATATTCCGCTCCGCAAATAATGGATGATTGGTTCCACACATTTGTCATCCACTTTTAGTCCGTGGTACATGCTACTACGTCAAGGAAAAGACTCCAGAAGGGTTTCCTTTCATATTGAAAACCATACTGAAATTAATTTTGAGCTCGAACTCAAATAGTCGAATCAAAAGGCAAAAATATTAAAAAAATTGGTACTTTGATTTAGAATCGGTTTTAAAGATGCAAGGTATTGCTAATTTTCTACGATTGGACATTAAAAATATTTCACCAAAGTTGTCGAAGATTAAATACATCATGGCTCACTACGGTGGGCACCCATCATCAGCCACTTCGATGCTTAACTCGCGAACGCCAAATGATCAGAAATATTCAGAGTAAGTGAACAATGTGAAGTTCAAAGTTTGAATAGAATGTATTTTCGACGTCGACAACTGTTGGACGGATTGGGTTTTAGATAATATTATAATTAAAATTGAACTTGTACTTACGTATCACATCTTTTATTTCTTCAACAACAACGAACGGACAACGATCACCAGTCATCAACTGCAGTTGCAACGGCGCCAGATACGAAATTACGCTCGTTACTTATTCTAACAACATCTCATTCTCTCTTAGTTTGAGAGACCAACTTCAGATGATGAGTCTCATGTGGAATGGTGATTTTGAAAAACCATGTTAGGTTTAACGCCCCTGGAGGCCGCTGATACATCAACAATTTGATTCCATCGCAATTTCGCAATGAAGGAGATTTGTATATTTCATCGAGATTAACGTTGTTTTCAGCTAAGTGTATTACAGAACACTCAAGAGAAGCGTGGAGTCTTTCGCCTTACTGAACTTGGAGAGATTTCGCTCTCTGTACACAGTCGAGTCAATATTTATGTAAGTGAAAATACAATATTTTACAAAAATAGGTTTATAAAATGAATTTTATAAATTCAACAATTTTATTTTTGTAACATAGTCAATTCATGTATTTAATTTTGGTCTGGCTTCTTTGTGTTTTTTTCCCAGAAACGCGAGCCCCCCCCCCCCCCCCCCCCCCCCCNCGCGGGGTATACACTGCATTGTTGGGTGCGTTGGATCATTATCTGTGTCTGGCTCCTCAGCTTCGGGGCATACTTATCCTTTAACCGGCGAGGAGTTTAGCGCCGGGTCTTATCACTCGTCAGGTATTTCGGTTTAAGACAATGCAAGTTAACCATATTGAACGGGTATAGGACTGGCCAAACTTGATTACCCGAAGGGGTTAAAAATGTACGAAGAAGCTGGGAGTAAAGACATTTGTACTCTTGGAGATATGTTCTGGTTTCTGCTTGACCTTCTATTCTCCTTATCGATTTTTTAATATCTTTTGCCATTTCCATAGCTTTCTGCATACTATATCATATTTGAGGAATTTTTTGTTTTTACAGTTGTATCTGTGATGGGCACATAATATCATTCGCATATAGAACCAATTTTTCGGGCATGTTCTCTATATCCACACATCCAATATCCCTGGAGCCTGTATTCATGTCAAATGAAATCCGACGCGCGGCGGGGGATCGCGAAACGCCAACATGTCGTTAGACAACTTTATGCTGTAAATATTTGTGCTGTGTTACTGTTTCAGGATGAATCCAAAGAAACAGAGGCCTTTGTACACCTTAGATATAACTTAGAATCCAAGACATCTTATAGGCTAGAACCTTCCACAGTCGTTAATTTTATGATCTCCTTCAATAGTAACTGGCAGTCAATCAGCCAATATGTAGAAAGAGTCCTAAAAAGGAAAAAGACATTAACATCCCGTCTAGTGCAAGCGACAACCCTTCATACCGAAGAAATGCCTTCAGGCGATACCGGTGTTGTAACCCAAACCTAGTGTAAATATTAATTATAGTTTTAATCAATTAATCTCTATAAGTATTTTAACCTCTTCCAATAATCCTGTAACAATATCACTATGAATCATAATTATGTCCTTATTCCTTTTCTTATTAGACGGTATACTATAGGCCTTCTTGCCAATTACTGTCTTAAATGGTTGTAACTTGTAATTAAACTAATAAATATGTTATATAAAAAAAAAAAAAAAAAAAAAAAAAAAAAAAAAAAAAAAAGGAAAAAAGAAACAGAGGATGAGCGATGCTCAGAATCAAAAGTAGCAAAGAATGAGTGAGGCCCAGAGGACGCACCTGATCACTTACGTGGTGGGTCATTCATATTTTGCCAAGCATGGAATCGATTCAGGGTCTCACGGTGATGAATACAGTCCTGCAGCCGATCAATCGGACACAGAAGAAAGCAGACAATCACACGGCGCAGATGAAGAATCGGACTGCTGTGAAGATGATCAATCAGACACCGACGCTCAACGTGCAGATGATCAATCATGTGGATGCGGGGGTAAAACGATGGCAGAGGCTGACCAATGAGCCGAATGTCATTTGTGCAGTCTCTAAGGACGCTGCTGGATGGAAGCAAGTAAGTATAATGCAATGAACAATTTATTTACACCAAATGCAGTTTAAAACTCCCAACAATTTTGTTTCTTCTAGTCTGCAAGTTGGAATTTTGAATTTTTTTGATAATGGAAGTCGTGGATGGAAGTAATGGAAGATAATCATGATGCTGTTCAAGTGTTCAATTACATGAATAAGTTCCCTGCACTTAAAAGGCTTTCATGAAAAAAACTGGTAATATTACTGTACGGTCATTTTTTTTGCTGCATCGGAAAGATGGACCAACACAACTCGTTTAAGACTTGGGGAACTCGAAGATAATCATGATGATGCTCAAGCAGTATATACTTACATGAATAAGTTCCCATCCATCAAAAGGCCGTCATTCAAGAAACTGGTAATTTTACTATGCGGTCATCTTTTTTAACTGCCTAGCAGCAAAGATTGGAAAAAAATTGTTTCCTAGTTGAAAAAAATCTAGTTTAAAAACTTTTGTCCCTCATGGTGTTTCAACGTTTCCACCAACATTTTATTTTTTATGAAAGAGTGCATCAGATCATGGAAGTCAAGAACGACATCGTGTTCGACGCCATGACCCAACTTGTCTAGTGCGGTCATGTCAATAGTATGACGGATAAGAGGCTGCCACAAAAGATGCTTCCTCCTGGGAGGAAACGAAGGACGCTCTGTGAAAGGTTGGCGATAGGAGGTTATGGATGAGATGAGGGAGTGCTAACTCCCTGATGACCTGTGGGAGGACCGAGTTCTGTAGTGGTTGAGCGTTAAGAGCGCCGAAGGGCGCTGTGGGAGCGACTCGTATGTATGTATGAAATTGTAACACCCTAGTCTACCATGAATGATTTTTCTAATTTTCATTTCTTCTTTTGAATTGGACGTAGGTACTTAAATTTCAGTTCATCCCCGACAATTCCAAATTTAATTAACTTAATTCAGCATCGTATTTTGTTATGTGGGTTCAAGTTCAGAGGGTGAAAGTGATTTATACTTCATTCGATAGATTGGTACCATGGAACATTTTTTTTGCCAAAAATTTGTTATCTGTTGGCAATTTCTTTGGTACTTGTAAGGCACTTGAACACTAAGTTATCTCCTTTTCCCACAAGATTAGACAAGCAATCCAAAAATTTTCCTCCGAACTAAGTGATCTTAATCTCTGATGACCCTTGTACCATTCTTGTTCGTTTACCATGATGTGTTCAATAAAACCAATTTTTCTCTCCGTAACTTTTTCCAGACGTGGAGCGATATGAAGCTTCGAATTAAGAAACTGGCGGCCAGCCTGACAAACTTGCCAACAGGCAATGCCGGGAAGCCGCCAATGAAATTAAAGCCAGAAGAGGAACTGGTGTACCATCTTTGCGGGGGGAAAGATTTCATCGGCGCAGGAACGGAGGAGGAATTGGGGGTAGCCCTGGTGAGGAAGTTCATATTCTGTCACTTTAACCGAAGCATAATGGCAAACTACCGATAAAACTGAGTTAATCCGAGAAAATTATCAGTCACACTCTCAGAAAATTGAATTGAACTGAATGATTTAATTCAATGATTTCCTTACATTCAATTCATTAACTTAATAGCGACAGGATCCTATATTCTCCTTATAAAAAACTACAAGTGGCAAAAAATATTTTGTACTCATGTCGTGGACTAGAAGTTTCCACTCTACATAAAGTTTTATGGAGAGAGACTTTGAATCTCTTTCTTTCTCTCACTTACACAACTCTCTTTATCAGCGAAATAATAGAGAATACAAAATGTATAATGAATCAAAATTGAGTGAAATCCAGACGTGGAGCGACATGAAAATAAGGATCAAGAAGCTGGCGTCCAGCCTGCACAATTCGCCAACAGGCAATGTTGGGACGCCGCAAAGGCAGCTGAAAGCAAATGAGGAACTAGTCAACCACCTTTGTGGGGGGAGAGATTTTACTGGTGCGGAAAAGGAAGAGGAATCGGGAACAGCCCTGGTGAATATGTTCATATTCTGTCACTTTAACCGAAGCATAATGGCAAACTACCGATAAAACTGAGTTTAATCCAAAAAAATAATCAGTCACATTTTCAGAAAATCGGATTGAACCGAATGATTTAATTCAACGATTTCCTTTCATTCAATTCATTAACTTATTAGCGACAGAATTCTATATTCTCTCGATAAAAAAGTAAAAGTGACCGAAGATACTTAGTACTCACGTCGTGGACTAGAAGTTTCCACCCCACGTTAAGTTTCCTACGGCAGAGTCAACGCCCTATTCTGGATTCGCGACGCCCTATTCATGCTGTTGTCGTTGGGAGAAGACCCACCCTTCATCCAAGGAGCCGTTGCCACAATTTTCTTCAGATGGACAATCACGTGGATTCGAGATTGCTTTTAGAGTGATTTCGAGTGAGTAATTTTTGAACGGTCCTTTCCAAGGACTTTGAAGTCAAATTACGCCACGATACTTAAATTTGCGGGGGAAGATTATGTTTTATTTTTCCCCGTAAAATCACACGTAGTGTTTTCCTACTGGAATCCCAGTAGCGTTTTTAGCTCCGCGTTTTAGTATTGAAGCTCTTCAAGCATTTCGTATTAAATGTAGATTAAATTGTAAGGCTCTTCAAGCTAGGAGTTTTCATCAGTTTTTACGGCAGTTTTGTATTTTAGGTCTATCTCTCTTTCAAAAGTAAGTAATAATTTCTCTGTGCATTCACTTCTGAATGAGTTTTAAATTTTTCCTGGTGAGTTTCTTTTTTGTCGTTCTATATTATTCAAAATTCTCGCTTTCTCTTTTCCTTGAAAAACCAAGATTCGCTCTGTAGCCGGTCCCGCGCGGCCTGGGAGTCTTTTAAAAATTAAAAACGCGTGCAGTCCACTCTTCAAAATTACCTAGTATTTCCTTTTCACATTTATTATTTTTTATTTTTGGCCTCTGCCCAAACATTTGGCAACATTTTATAAACATTACACTGAAAAAAGAGTTTGATGCGCAGAACGAGAATCTAGTGCGGCGTACCAGAATTTTTTAGTTAGAAACTGACGTCACGTACTGGTTTATGCCGCGCACCAAACAAGTTTGGTAAGCGGCACGATTCATCTCGTTTACACCATCATCCACGGCAAATCATTCCGAGCTGTTACAAAAATGGCCGTTGCGTTGAGGTATCAACTACAAAGGTTTCGGACCCTTTTTCGGGTGCGTCAATTTAAAAGTCCCCGCTTTAATTTAAATAATTATTCTCTTTTCCCGCTTCTTGGGTTGATAGTGCTGCTATCTTTAATAATTGATGTTTTTGCTATGAACAGTAAGTAAGGCAGGTTGTTGTTGGTCTGGATCGTTATCAGTGTCTTCGTCATCAAAACATGCCAATATTCTTTCTTGTATCTCTTTGACTTTAAACATTTAATTCTAATTTCACCCTATCTCATGTTTACTCTAGTATTCAACAGTTCGTTACATTACTTTTCCTAACATCGTGTCTTATGTGTGGAAAACCGCGATCGTACCAAACCGAAGTTCCGGCCATTACCAAGTTCATATCACCCAAGTCCCTCACAATAAATAATATCGGTAGTTTTTAGAAAGTTTATTCGTTGAATATAATTACAATCAAGGATATATTAATCTTGAACATGTTATTCGAACCGTATTGGTTTTGTGATGCCGTGAAGTTTTGGAGCTACCCTAGCTCCTTAGTGCACTTGCCCACAGTGTCGACCGAGACCTTAATCTCTCTGATTGTTTGTTTTCAAAGTAAGAGTGCTTTGTGCTTTTCCCATTTCCTAGTTGTCTAGAAGTTTTCATTTTATAATCTTTTTAAACGACATTTTACTTCGCTTTTCCCTCGTCCACCCTTGAGAATGTTAAATACCAGGGCAAGATGTTGATGGATGCATTATGCGCTAGATTGCCTGGGTACCATGATTTACTTGATAATTTTCCTATTTCATCTAAAACTCTCTTATACCCATGAAAATTCAATCTTTTGTGTGTAGAATTACAGAGGAATACATCAATGAACCAAAATCTATGCTCAACCGGAGAAATTCTTTAAACGCTCTTCTTCTAAGATTTGAGATTTACTGAGCGACTGCGCTAAACAGTTTTCAAGGCTAATAAGGTTTCTTATTCCTCTCTCTATTAATTGTTAATTTGTAAATAGAAACTGTCGGTATTGGTTTTAGATTGAATGATGAAAAATACCACCCTTACTCACCATCTTGTGCCCTTGAGGAACATTTTACATGGTTACCTTATCAATATTCATTACCTACTTTAACGCTCCAAGTATGTAATCGCTTACAACTAGCTTCTATTCTGTACCTGGTGATTTTTGTGATTTCCTATCACTCCAAAGTTCTTGATCAATGATTGCTAAATGGCTAGTGTAAAATATTAGGTTGACAGCTTTTCTCTTGTGAGCTAGAGTTAGCATTATGTACTCACAATCAGTGATTCTTATGTTCTCCTTATTCATCCTTCATATCCACCGTGCTCATAAACATAGGTTTTTTTAAAACCATTACCTTTCTTGAAATCTGATTCTTAAAGTAAATGTGTCAGTCTACTGGACATTTTACTAAAAAATCAGTTTATAGAAATTATCATCGTTATGGATCTACATTGAAATTCTTTATACCCAACTGCTGTCAGATCTTACTACTGGATTTTTTCCAAGGATGCCTGAAGGTGAGTGTCTGCTATTCAAGCATCATAAACTGTATCTTTTCTTCAAAAAGTGACATATATTCTATCGGCCAAAGTGTAAAATCATGTATCTCCATTATGAAATGAGATCAGAGAATGTTAGTGTTTGTTCCGCCTGGCTGTTTGAGAGAGATTCATAAACATTCCGCGAGGCGCAGCACCGCGCAGCGCTGTACCAAACGAGTTTTGTGGCGCGCGCCATTCGAATTGGTGGCCGCCACTAGGCAGCTCCGTACAGCATCACAAACGGGTACCTACCACACCAGTTTCGTATAGCGCGTTAAATCATTTTTTTCAGTGTACTTTAAGTATATATTATTCTACCTCTCTTTCTCTATTGCTAATAATTAATTTATATATATTATTCTACCTGTTCACTCTGTTATAATTTGGTTAAATAGTGTAACTTGACATAGTCTGCTGAACTTCAGTCATGTAGTGATGGGGGACGGATGTGATTTCTCACAATGCTGTTGGCCTCTCTAGGGTGCAATGATGTGTCTAAAATGTCTGTTTTCCTCAACCTGAAACCATTTTTAAGAAGTGTCTTTCACACTCTTCAATGGTGGAGAATACAACATGCATAATGCATCAAAATTAATCAAAGGTTTGGAAAGGACTCAGTGTATGACTTCGGGATACAATGCAGACACATAGTAGCAACTATTCCCTGGAATGGTAGTATAAGTGGGTCCAAAACAGTTTTAAAATCTCTGGTTCTGGTTACTCCGGTTTACAATTTTACGATTATTTCAGTTTATTTTACAGGTACAAAATATTAGTAACTTTGGATCACAATATGCAGTCTTCCTATTTCAGCGTTATTTATATTAGGATTGGGCCGGGGTAGCTACCGCCACCTAGAACAGGGTTATTCAAAATTCACGCACCACTGGCCATGAGGGGGGGGGGGTGGCCTTTTGAGATTTTTGAGTTGTCCCCCGCCACCCTCCCCCGAGGGGATCAAAAACTCGAAAGTACCTTAAACATTTTCCCCCTCAATATGAGGAAATACGTCTTAAATCGCAACTCGATATCATATTTAGAACTTAAAGTTATGGCCAGTGGTGCGTGCCTTTTGAATAATCCTGTATATCAAAGTAATGCATACAAATGTATGCATACACCATGAATATACCACAGGATAATCCTCCCTGGTAAAAAACAAGAGAAACAACCCCTTTACACGAGAAGTAATCATCATTTCAGCAACGCGTGTTTTATAGTCGAAACCGGACAAAAATGTTTCCTGGTTTTTTTCCTTCAAACGATTTGAGGAGTTTCACAGAAACTTTGAAGTGGCGACGCTTAAAGACACTTCACCCACGACTCGAGTGAAATAACGTAAACAGAAACAGACAATAGGAGGTACTTCATTCCACGAGGGATCGCATAACAGTGTACACGCTATCTCATAATACCCAAATATTATCAGCATTTACTAGCCGAAATCTCAGCTGTGTCTCAAGGTACGTCTAAATCAAAATTTATACCTGATCGATTCGTTACCGCCACAGTTTCACGTTTTTCCTGATGTGCTGAGAAAATCAACAAGCAAAAGAGTCAAAATATGAGCGAAAAATTAGGAAAGAACACCGAAGAATTTAGTGTTATCAAAGAATGTGTAAAATGTTGATAGAAATACCGTTTGTCTAATATTTAACGTGAAGGAGAATATTTTCATTGATTATTTTGTCTTCTTCAAAATTCAATTCATACCTCGTAATTACTCTTTTTGAAATTAATTCAGTTTGACACTCACAGGCGCTTTCCTGTGCAAGTTTTTCCTAATCAGTCAGCGCGCCCGCGTATCCAAAGCCCAAGACGCTTTCAACCCCCTGACCCGTGTCCCTGTTACAAATCACGCTTCTACCCCTCAGTTTGAGGGTGTCTATAGGTGCTCTGTTTGCCCCGCAGGTGTTCTTACGTGCGCGGTAAACTTTCTTCTTTCTTTTCAATTTCCATGCTTCGACCACTCATTCTATCGACTGTGTCTTTCGGTATACTGTTCACTGGAAAAAAACACATTGGATCTGGAGTCCCGACTCCTGAAAACATTGACAAGAAAAAGGACTCTTGGTTCAATCAGATTTAAGCTTAAATCAAATGGAAATCCGCTCGAATTAAGAGGCTTGGATCTTGATTTAAGCTAAAATCTGATTGAATCAAGAGTATTTTTTTCTTGTCGATGTTTGTAAGAGTCTGGACTCTAGATCTAATGTGTTTTTTCCCCCAGTGTTCGCTCCGGGGATGTTCTTTCCCACGCTGTAAACTTTCTTCCACGATCCGAGGCTTTCCAGCTACCATTGAGTATTTCTTCTAAAATTCTCTCTTTTCGACTATTATTTTACACGTCCAATAATAAATGTTAGAAATTACCGCCTTCGGCCACAAACTCAATCAAAATTCGGGTATCTAAATTGATGAAATTAGATTTGAAAGTGGCGAGGCCAAGGCCATTCGGGGGACAAAGCCTTTGCACTACGTCATCTCCGTCTATGCTACAGATAAATTCGAAGAGCGCCTGAAATTAGTGCCTGACTTAGAAAAGGGCGTGTCCGGAGTGGAAGCCATGGTCAAGGTGATCAAGCGAGCTTCACTACCAAACACCAACCATCATCTCACCATGCTAGATTTCGCCAACTTTAACATCCAACACTCTCCTGGATCACAGGCCATACTGCATGAAGTCAGCAAATCCCTAGGGCCAGAACACCATGCCCCAGTAGACTGGTTGCAAGCTCACCTATGGCTGGCTCGTTCCGAGTATATTATGTGAGTAGAAATCCCTGACCCTCAAGACTCCTCCGAGCGAATACTAGTACGAGTGCACCAAGGGTTGTTCTCTGGTACTCAAACCACTGACCTCACCAACACCGCCTTGAACTGGTATTATGTCAAAGTGGCCCAGCAACTAGTGGCTGATCCTATGCTTTCATACCCACATCTTTGTATTCCCTCCACCAGGGAGATGACATTTGGCTCTCTAACTTATCCACCACCTGGTCGGTCTTCCTCTTCTATTCCATGAATAGAATGGGTTTCAACTTTGCTCCAACTAAGCAGATGATTGGCCAGTGCAGAGGAGAGTACCTGCGGGTACTGTCATGGGCATGCAATAGGCTACTTGGCCAGATCTATAGTCAATATGCTCATCGAGCCAGTCCAACAAGCGATGAGTATGCTACCTAGTGAGAACATTAGTTCAATAAATCCTACTCTAGGTACCTTAAGCCGACGTGGTTCACATCTACATGCCTTAGCAGCCCTACACTTTGACCTAAGCAGGCACTGGCGGAAATTCCGTGCCTGCCCAGGAGATAATATCCCCCTTGCCCTCCCTTTAAAGGTTGTGGACTACCCAACTCCGCTCAATGGTCTAGATTGCCCACCTCCCTTGACGCTAGCTGTTACCGATAAGATCCTTCTGGTTATGGTACAAAAGTAATCTCTGCAAGAAAGATGAAGCTATTGCTAAATTCAGGCTCACGGATGCTTAGGGTGAAATGGACTTGAAGTTATATTGTATCTAGGAGATGGTTTCCTATTTGACTGAGAAACTCAATTGAAATACCTCAATTTCCTCAATTTTCCTCAATAATTTGATACTTCAGTTCGATAATTTTCACAATTGAAAATCTCCTAAACTGAGTTTCTCGGTCGTATGGATACAATTCATACCTAAAAAAAAGTGATGGCTCAGATCTCTTTAAAAAACTGCACATCTTACAGTATACCTGTAAGAATATTACTAATAACAAATTTTATTTGTGCAAGAAAGTGATAATACGTTGATAGCAGGACTTGATATTCGAAAGTTTCGGTACTGCGTGGATCCTGATATCAGCAGGAATCAGAAGCAGATTCAGAACGAGTCTGTTACCGGCACTTTTAAGAAAGCACAGCTATCAGCGAACCTTGTTGTATGAATGTGTCAAAGCTATTTAGTGCGGTCCGGTTTCAGTTTGCTGCTGTCACATGTCCCTAAGTCGTACATTGAGTAAACAGAAGAAAAATATCGTAGATTGGGCATGATTTCATCATTGACAAAACGCAGAAAATACACGATTCGATTGAAGAAAAATCACGACTTTCGAAACATGAAAGTTTTCCTTCAAAAAATGAGCCGTTGCTGGCGGCTGCAACGTCGCAATTAAAGATCCAAGTCGTTCCAAGTTTGCCACTAATGCCTATTATGTTTTGATATTCAAATTGTGTATTGCTGAAAAAAACAACTTCCTAACCATAATATTCAACTATTTCAAAATCTATTACATCTGATAGGGTACGTGGTGAATAGGATTTAAATGCAGAACTTTAGCGTAAAATGTGCAGAGTCTGCAATTCCAATTCCTCGGTAGCGAAATTTCGTAAAAATCCGTTACTGCAAAAACAAAATAAATTAGGTAGGTGCATCAAGAGTTTTAATGTTTAACACCAATAAGGTGGCGAACAACGTTCCACGTTGTTAATATCTTACTTGGGAATGCTAATGCCCCACTACCTTTCCTTCCTTCTAAGTTAAAATGCGAAATGCTGGTAAAATCATCCTTCCGATAAATTATTGACAAATGGCTCACGGATGTTTAAGGTGATTCGATGGACGCCATATTTTGTGTCAGAACGGCATGCGATATATCGCATCAATTGGTTCCATATTTTCAGCTACTCGTCATTTTTCTCCTATTTTGAGATCGCAATTTTGTTGTCAGGAGTCTAAAGCACTCACTTACCAATTTTAACAAAGAAATTCAACGTAATAAAGGCGTGGTTTTTTCAGAGAGAAAATATCGCATTCGAGTGCAGTTTCGATATCAGTATCGAATGCGATGTTTTCTCTCTGAAAAAAACCACGCCTTTATTACGTTGAATTTCTTTGTTAAAATTGGTAAGTGAGTGCTTTAGTCTCCTGACAACAGAAGTGCGATCTCAAAATAGGAGAAAAATGACGAGTAGCTGAAAATATGGAACCAATTGATGCGATATATCGCATGCCGTTCTGACACAAAATATGGCGTCCATCGAATCACCTTAAATGATATTCATTATGTACATTTCTTATTTCAGATGTTACTATTTCTTGCAATACCATGCGTCTTCCTCGTGGTAAACGTGAGAGCAATGGGCGATTCGCCGCGGTCTGATTATTTCCACCCGCTGGGCGGACTTACGATGCAATTGGAATCTTACGTTAAAGAGCACGGGCCTACTGAGGGACTGGAGGCAGACTTGTGGTTTGAGCAAAAGCTCGATCACTTCACACCCTCTAATACGGAGGTATTTTCTCAGGTGAGTGTAATTAGAGGTTGAGAGTGAAATTTCATTTGTTTTTGATCCACCACGGAGGGATTTTAGATGAGCTTGAAAAGTATTTTTTCTTGAGCCGCCTTAATAATTATTCAGATTGTAATTAATTGAAAACGATTAAGAACACGAAAACAGTTCAAAAATACGAATACAGTCGAGAGAGGCTAAATCAAGGCTGAGGGTTCTGAACTAATAGGAAGGCACAACGTTTCGCGTCGTTGCCATTACTGTTCCATTTACAGCTGCAAAAAAGAAAAAATAATTGATAAACGCGTCGTTGCCATTACTGTTACATTTACAGCTGCAAACAAGAAAAACAAATTGATAAATTGACAGGCAACCTGACTCCGAACGTTATCACAGATGCGTTTGCAGCATAATAGTTCTTGAGCAGCCTTCATAAATATTCAATTTATAATTAATTTAAAACGATGAAGCACACGAAAAAATAGTTCAAAAATACCTAAAGAGAGGCTAAAATATGAGTAAACGAGGCTGAAGATTTAGAAACACTAACAAGGCAGAACATTTCGAGTCGTTACCGGCTCATTTTCAGCTGCAAAGAAGAAAAAAATAATTAATAAGAAATAATTGGGAACCCGACTATAAACGTTATAACGTAACCACTCAAAAGCTGGAAATCAGCTAGAGACGTTCTGCTATTTAGTGTTGTAAAATTGTGTAGGCTTGTTTAGCCTTGTTTAAACCCCATTCAATTACATTAATTTAAAACTAATACCGTCCAAGGATATCCAACTTTCCCTAGATCTCCAATTTGACGGTCGGAGTTGGCTGAGGTTTAAAAAATACTTTGTTGTGACAGCTACTGAGCAAACACTATCATCAGATGATTTTTAAGCGTAAGAAACTTACCACTTCATATACAGATCAGAAAACAGTCACCCTTGATGTTGCATTATTTTAGTGATTTATAGCTGAAGTCCAGCATGTTTTGAGACGGTTTGGTTCTTAAAAATTGTTACAGAGATACGCGATGAACAAAGCGTATTATGGTAATAACAGTCTTGCGTTTCTCTTGATCTCTGGAGATATGGCTATGATTGAACACTTCATTGGATACAGCTTTATGGGAGATGAAGCTAGAAAATGGAGAGCTGCAACATTTATGCTTGAGCACAGATTCTACGGTAAAACCATACCAAAAGGGTGAGTTGCTCTTCTACTGCAGCGCTTTTCATTAGAATGGTCCCAAGTTATAGGTGGTGAAATTAGTCCCACCCGCTAAAATGATCCAATGACCCTTGCACAATTTGGGCCCATTCGAATAATACTAACACGTGCCGCGCGTCCCAAGTACCACTTTTTTGCCAAAAATTGAGACAGTTGGCAAAAAATTTATAAAACTGCGCGCAGCTCGAAATTACGGTTCTTACCAAAAATTTAGAGCGTATAAAAAAATGTTGCAAAAATTGTCTGCGAAATTAGATCCTTCGCAATTTTTCTCTTCGGCCATATTACGTCATAGTTTTTAAAACGATATTAGTGCGTAACAAGGTGGAGAAATGGTGCTGTGTCCACACCATTTCGCGGGGAAATCAAAGCAAGAAATTCCAAAAAATATAATTAGAGTCAAAAAAATTCGAACTCTAATGGGTACGAATAGGAAACTAAAGAAGGAGAATGTTCAGCTTGTAATTTATGGAATTTCTCGGTTTTGATTTCTCCGCAGAATGGCGTGGACCCAACACCATTTCTCAATCTTGTTACATACAGTGTCGAGCCATTTTATAGTATTTTTTCTCAACATTATTGCGTCAATATCATTTCAAGGCGAATTTTTTCCTTTCTGAGTAACCCACTTACCACTTGAAAGAAGAGGAAAAGTATACATTTTCAAGAAATTTAAGAATTGCAAATAAAGTATTCTTATTGATCAGACAGAAAATCAACAAGTAAGTTTCATGTGGAACTTACGAAAAATAGAACCGTGAATCGTAAACCTTTCTGATGCGCGTGTTATTAATTTTGGGTCGTAACACATACAATGCGACTCTCTTTCTTTGAACTGCGGCTAAGTTTTGTGACTGACACATTCCAAAGAGACCGTAGAGACATTTTCCAGTGCATTGATCGGTGGTAATTTTGATTTTCGACAGCAACTTAGAGATGGACTCACTAAAATACTTGAGCAGTGAGCAAGCGCTGGCCGATGTCGCGAATTTCATAACGCAGATGAACATTCAACACGGATTCGAGAATCCAAAATGGATCGTTTTCGGATGGAGCTACGCAGGATCCTTAGCAGCTTGGATGAGATACAGATATCCCCACTTGGTCTACGCAGCGGTAGCTTCGAGCGCTCCTCTTGTGGCTAACGCAGACTTTTCAGGTGAGAAAAATCTCTCGATAGCTCGGGACAAAAATTGCAGCGAGGAAAGATAAATGGTAGTGGCGTAACTACCATACCTGCCGCCACGGGCAGGGGGAGAGCACTGGAAAAAAAAGTCTGCTACGGTCAAGCCGTCTCGAAATCTTGAGAAAAAATCAGCTTGATTCAAGAATTTTTATCTTAAAACAAGCAATTTATTGCTAAATTCAAGATTCGAGATTCTTAATTGCAGCTACCTTATAGCTTGGATCACCTGCTAGCTTGATTTAAGCAGCACAGAAATCTGGAGTCAAACTTGCTGAGTCTTACATCAAGCCACCATGGCTGCTAATTCTAAGAAGTTGTTTCTTGATTCAAGATAATGTATACTCGATTCAAGATTCCTGGTTTCAAGCATGACACGAATCTTCAAAATAGTTGAAAAAATTAGACTTAATGAAGTTTGCAGCCAACTTCTTGAATTAAGTTTCCATTGGATTGTAACCACTCCGCCTTCATTTTCGACACGGGCATTAAGTTATACATCCCTACATTCTCAAGTCATTCCAGGAGACCTCCAAAAGCCGCGCATTATAACAGTGCTGCAAACCGAGAAAAAAACCCGCGACAACGCACGAAGACTTCAACTTGATCCATGTCGAAGAATCAGTAACGTTCTATCCCTACGTTACGGAATTTTTGAAAAATGAATAAAACTTTCAGTTCTTAGTATTGGATCCGAGCATTAAACGAAAAATAATTAAGATTCCGCCGGGTAGCTAATTTCAAGCAGCACGGCCATGCTTATTTCAAGCAATACATTTTTTGGCGGCTAATTTAAGATTTTTTCCAGCTTGCTCAAGCTACTATTTTTTCCAGTGTGTGCTCTGCCTACCTACTTCATTCAACTTCGCTCGTGAATGTTGCCTCTGCCGAGCGGTCTTTTACGAAGCAGAAACTGATCAAAACTTATCAAGGGAGCACAATGAGCAAAAATCGACTGTGGGGTCTCGCGCTCTTGTCAATAGAAAATGAAATTGCGGCTGCCTTGAATTTCGATCATCCCATTGAAAGTTTTCAAATGTTAAGGCGAGACGAAAGAAATTTTGATCATGCAAACATTTCATGTAAATTTCACAAGTTTTCGTACTTTTAAGGGACTTGAATTTCCTCTTCACTTTCCTGTCTATTCTCATAGCGATACCTTGATTACCTCCCATTTATTCAGATCTGGAAGACTAGGCGGGCAGGGGGAGGTGCGCCGCTCAAAACTTCTGATATGAAAGGGCGCAGCCTCAGATAGGCGGGGGCGCGCGAAGATTCCTAGTTACGCCACTGATAAATGATTGTTCCTGATGGAATTTAGAGAGTTCGCGACGTTTTGGAGGGATATGTGAATAATGGGGGGAAAGGAGCTGCGCTATAGGCGGACAAATTCACAAAACTTTCAAACTATTCCGGAAAACCCGACGAGTAATTAACTAAATAAATTAAAAAAAGTTAAAATCAAACTTTTCGTATTTTACAGTGGCGTGGCGTGCTTTGTGATATATCGATTGTTCTGTCATTTAAACCTAAAAAAAAGGATCGATTAACAGGGTGTTCGCAGCGAACACCTGAATAATTGATTCTGTGCCACGGATTCAAATGGGGAAACATCGATAATCGATCATTCACGCCGCACGCCACTGGTATTTTACTATGTGAATTAGTTCGTTGGATTGACCGAAAACAGTTTCCAAATTTCATGTTTTTTTAGAGTGACCGCGGTTAGGCGAGTGACGAGTACCCAAGATGGCAAGAGAGCCGAAATGATCTTCGTAAAAGAGAGAAAAACTAGAGGAGGTTGAGTTGAAATCTTCCGCAAGGAGAGTTGATTATTAAAGTAAGGTCTCTCATTGGACAAACCTGACTGCGGCGGCCAGAAGAAACCAAGAGAAACACCAAGAGAAAACGCATACGTGGTAAAAAAAAGCACGTTACAAACTACGCACGATTGAGCACATCGGAGAATCTCATGAGCGCCACTGCCCGCGGTGCACTATGGCCCAAAACTTAAGAATAGGAAGAAATAAGTCGTATAATGACTGAAAAATCACGTGAGTTTCGTAGCAGATGTTTCTTGAGCCGCTGATTTCGAATTTCATGTCAAATTGCCTCCATTTTACCACCCTGACCTATTAATTGTGGGCAAGTTTACGGCATGCTACGGCGTGGCGTGCTACCGCTGCCAGCTCGACACGTGCACCGACGCCTACATACCGAAAGGGATACTTCAAGCATTGCGCAATGCAAGAAGTAGCCCCCTACAGAACCTAAATGGATACTTCAAGCATTGCGCAATGCAGGAAGTAGCCCTTTAGGTTTGTAGGCGTCTGATAGCACACCGCGGCGCCGCCGACGGGCGGGTGCTGAACGATTTCTTGTGGGGAGAGCTCCCTGGCGAAGGCACTCGTAAACTTTTTTTCTAATTTTCGACTTCGAAAATTATGCTTTGGTCGTGTGAAGTAATAAGTGAACTCTCACCGCTAGATGAAGGGTAATAATAAAAGGCAGGTCGTGTGCCATGCGCGCTGCGGACGGCGCGGCGCGGCTCATGCACTGGTAGTGTCTTTGGGCAAGTGTTTTCGCCCCGCAGATGTACTTACCTGCGCTGTAGCTTTTCTTCCTTGTCAGTTACGCCGTATCATCTCTTCAGTAGGTATGTTTTCTAAATTCATCTTCTTTCCTCTCTCATTTCCATTAATAATAACTTCATGCTAAATTCCGGCTTTCTGCCAATAAACAGTTCTTTTCGGTCTAAAAATTCAATCGCGTTACTCGTGTCCGGTCACGACTGCCTGTGGTCCGAGTTCCGCGGATGACTTTTTCAAAATTTAAATAAAGTAAATGCCCGTCTCTCTTTTTAATTAGCTTCCATCGCGCTACTCGTGACCGGTCACGATTGCCTGCGGTCCGAGTGCCGTGGACGACCCTTCCGGCTAATCTCTTTAGAAGACGTACATTAAACTTTCATTTTCTTGTCGATGTTTTCAAGAGTCTGGACTCCAGATCCAATGTGTCTCTTTTTCCAGTGCTCGTGTATAGTGTACTTTTTGTCGTGTGAAGTATAATAAGTGAAGTCTCAACGCTAGATGAAGTGTAATAATAAAAGGCAGGTCGTGCGCCATGCGCGCTGCGGAATGACGCGGCGAATGAAATTCTCCCGTGTCCTTTGTCGAACTACGCAGATTGCACGCTAAGGAGTGGATTTCAGACTTTTTCGATATGTCCAACGTGATTTTAGAGCGAATTTACCCTGAGAGAGTATGTTCAGTTCACGGCATTTCTTGCGTGCAACAGACCCATTCAGAAAATGGACCACTAGACAAAGTACGAAGTTAAGCATTCCGATACATGCATCTAAACCGAAATTTAATGTAGAATACGATCCGTGCAACGAAAATTACTGAGCCAACACTGAACTCCTAACCAATATATCTGATGTTTCTGCGACGCGTGAATTCAAACATTCCGCTGATGAAAACACGATGGTCTAAACACGGTAGATCGCAGTCTGATGCGAAACGATGGCAATCACAATCCTGATGCTTTGGCTCAGCTATAACAAATTGCTAACACTAAAAAACACCCATAGGGATTCCATCCTCTATTCATCCATCTCCACATGGATCTCGACAACACCCACTAGAGGACAACCATTCTCTGAGCTTAAATTTATCTCAGTTAACGCTCCGGGTTCCGCATGAAGTTCTGATTTTGAATCATAGTCAGATGCATCAGTTTTTCTTGCATGGGATTTGATTTTGACTGGAAATCAGTTTCATCGGGGTGGGAAGTGAACAATGCTTGATGGAGAAGCCTGCCAAAACCGTTGTGGTGCGCGATTTGACTCACGAAGAGAATTGTGTTTCTTGTGACCAGGCAATTCAAATTTCCCGTGACCAATGTACAATTAAAACGTTTATGACGTACTGAAAAGTTAATTTCAGTAACTTTTGATGAGAGAATTGTGTTCTCAGTGAGATTCTGATGAGGAAACATTTCGAATGATTAAATCCGAACTTTGCCTAGTGGCCCATGCCTAGTCGATTTCAGTAATTTTTGACGCAATAATCGTTTTCTACGTGAAATTTTGATTGTAAAACAAGTATGAGAATATTCAAGTTCGTACCTTGTCCAGTGGTCCATATTCTCAAAATATTTACTTCCATTCCCTCCTCTCAAACAAGACACAACACAAGAGACAACATCACACTGGTGGTCAACATATTCACAACTGCTCCACGCACCACTATTTGGTCTATTTCAGGTTACTTCCAAGAGGTATCAAAAGCTCTGACTACCGTGGAGCCGAAATGCGCGGATCCCATTCGAGATGCGTTTAGTATTATGAGCGCCGGCATGAAGAACAAGACGAAACGGGCGCACTATGCCGAACTTTTCAAGTGAGTTATCAACTTCATCATGGAGAGATACGCTTTTCCAATATGCACGGTTGAGCCAACGGAAAACTGGAATGCGTTTATTAGACATGCAGGGTAAAGCCATATCAGCTATGGCCAAATTTAATAGGCAATTTAATTCCTATGAAGGAACGTATGTGTGTGGATTCCTTTTTAAACTTTTAGAGAAATATGCTTCGTACCGCTCAGGACATTTGCACAGATGGTTTTGTGTTTGGGGTATTAGGAATTTGCGTAAATACGCCGGATTATTTATTTTTTGAGAAGAAGGGGCAGCACTAAAGTAGCACAGTAAAGATGTCACGAGCGATAATCGAATGGTTCATAAGAGGGTATCGGAGCTGCGGGTAACTCTCACCTTGTGAGCAGACAATAAAAAACTCCAAGTTCATGGATTGAGAAAACGCTCTAAACGAAATACCGCAGACAGTGACAGCGTTCAACCAGCCAAAATTGGACCACGTTAAGGTGAATCCAGGGTTCGATTAGGGATAATTCAAGATTAGAGATAGCTCAGATAGCGCCACCAGTCACCACTGAGAATTTCACTTTCCTTCTACGATTACTGAAATAATATTCCTCTAATTACAAAAAGCAGATCCACAAGATAAAGATTATTTTTTGCTTGATTTTTTGAGCCAAAAATATTGGTAATTAGAATTACAAGCGCAGAGAAAGTACGGCTAAAACTTTCAGCTCGGAGGCGGCGGCCGAGCGCACAACCAACTCCCTCATGTTCTGTCTCTCTCTCTCCCATTGCCGCAATGGGAATTACTTTCCGCCGTAGTTACGACTTTATTTTTAGGAATTTTGAAAAGATTTTTTTACTGAATGTTCCTCAAGTATGTTGCTATATCCCCTGGATCCCCAATCTTGAATAAGTATTACGGTTCTTATTATTTTGGCAAATATGTACGGCTATTCTGAGCAGCGCGACGTGGCGGCCAAATCGCGAAGTTCTGAGCCTGGATTCACCTTAAACAGAAAGCCACATCAGCTATTGCCAAATTTGGACGGGCAATTTTATTGTTTGCATGAAAACGGTTGTGCGGATATTTGTGCAAATTTCTATGAATTTTCTCCATAATACAAAGCTAATTCATTAAAATTTTCGAAGGAATCAGCACAAACGTTTTCCCGTAAAAAATCAGATTCTCCTGTTAAATTTGGCAATAGCTGATGTGGCTAGGTTCCTTTCTGTTTAAGGCGGTCCAATTGAAGGGCGGGATCTGATCGTACCAGACAGTGAACATGTGCAAAACTTTGACGAAGTTACTTCATCCGATGTGTTCAATGTCGAAAAAGCCGTATACAAGGCAAGACGAAGTAGACACGGCCCAGTGCGGGTCGATTATTGAAATTGATAGACAAAGCCATAGACAAAGAAGACAAAAGAGATATGGAAGGGTCCTATTGGTGAAAGCGGATGGTTCCAATAGACAAAGGAGTTAGGTAATAGACTAACTAACGGCAAACCATGGGAGATCCGACAGTTAGTCCATCATTTTTTCTCCCTTTGTCTGTAAGAGCCACCCATTTCAACCAATAGGATCGCTCCATACTGCCTATGTCTTCTTTGTCTATAGCTTTGTCCATCAATTTCAATAATCAGCCCGCTGAACGGAAGAAGCCGGATCAGCTTCTTAAATTGTGGCGTGACTATTCCTTGAAAAAAGGGGTGATCGATGAAATCACAAAATTAGACGTTGCGGATCTAAAATATTATTATGAGGGGCCGTTCATGAATTCCTTAACCCAATTTCTTTAATTTTTCAAGCCCTTTCTCTATCACAGAATCCAGCCGTCATCCATTACTAGACCCTCCTGAAAATTGCGTCATCCTTAGCAGCGTTAACCTTCTTTCGGGGAAAGACGCAGAAAATAGATCAAACTCAGCAAATATAGTCTGCAGCGTTAAGAAAATAATTATCTATTTCATTGAGTATTAAATGTATGTTGTGTTCTTTAAAAGGAATAAGTCATTAAAGCCACGATGAATATTCCCCCTCCAGAATTTTTTCAAGCGAGCATTTTCAGCCTTTGCGCCTTCCGGAAAGCTTACGTCATGCTAGGCTTGACGCACTCCCTCCCCGTCACCCCCCACGCCCCTGTGACGGTAATTTTTTCCGTCACTTTAAGTTTCAAATAATTAATCACCTGGGGAAATTGTTTTAAAATATTAAACCGTGCCGAACTTTAATAATGTATTTATTTTGTGGTAACTTCGATGGCTACAGCTGTATCGTTGAGCGTAGCAAGAGATTGCGACTGTACAGTAACCAATTTTAATTGAAAAGTCTATACAGAGAATTTCGTCTATTTCGATACGAGAGTTTATATTTAGTAGAATTTAATTTTGCACTTTCAAAATTAAATCTCTTATAGCGTGTCAGATTCCAAGAGTGCACGTGGAGAGTAGCACCTGGAGTTTTGGCCGCTATTTGAATTTCTTTTGAAAATATTCACTTTGGACCTTAAATCCGCCATGCAAGATTGAGTGCACGTGGTGAGTAGCACCGGTTGTCTTGATTTATGGTCAAAAAAATAATCAAAAGAAAAATTAATTCATTCAATTTTTTTTTTGGTCCCTTTTATCGTTCCTTTCTAAGTATTTAAAAAGTCAATCCGATCAACTCATTCGTCTTCAACCATCCTACATTCTGATCTCGCAATTAGTTTTATTTTTTTTTGAGAATTTTAAGTTTGTAATTGTGTTTAAGAAATTGTCTTCTTTTCGCGTCAATGAAATTGACTCTAATATGTTCAAATTTGCCCTCATTATTCCTTCCTGCCAATCCTGTCCTCGCTTCAGGAAAATCACCTCACTAATTTAGAGAGAACGCACTTCAAGTGTGTTGGCGCCCGAACCCAGGCAACCCGACGGTCATCTGGCATCCTAAATTTTGTGGCTTGATCTGCTGAGGCTCGACCCTTCCCAGGAAGCTTGCTTTCTGACGATCGGGATCGTACGAGTTCTCACTTTTCCTTGCTACACCCCCAACTTAGGTGACGTGCTTTATAGACGACCCATGAGAAATCCAGAGGGGGGAAACATTGACATTTCTTTTTCATATTTACAGTCTCTGCGAGCCTTTGGAGGATAATAAAAATGACATCGCGCATTTGTTTCAAACCATATCTTATACTTTCGCCTACGTTGTCACGTACCGCAATCAAGTGGGAATGACGGAAATCAGCATAGAAGGTGCTTGTGAAATCATGGCTGATGAAACAACAAAGTGCCCAGTAAGTTCCATAATCGATTAAATTTTTAATCAATTAGACCTATGATGTAAGGTGTCTGGTAAATGTGAACTTTCGGGGGAAAGAACGACGGTTCCTTCAACATTTCACAGAAAGAGGAATAAGATAAGTTTACAAACTATTTGGACCCATTTGGTGTGTGTCAATGCCGAATCTTGCTGATCAAAATCCTTCACATCGAAAGAGGCGGTTCACAGGTGCTAACTGACTACTTATCAATCATCGATATCACCGAAACAAGGGTTTCGATGGATAAAATAAGAGTATCACAGCCGGTAAGCGTGTCGCCACAATTTGGTCGCTGGCGTAGTGCCGGTGTATTGTTCCTTGTTGGACTACTGACAATGATTGATAGGAAGAGTATAATTCTTGGCTGGAACGATATATGAAAGACCACAGGGAGTAAGGAAGAAAAGGTGGTACGAATGTTTTCCACGTTTATCTATCTTTGGGGGAAAAAAAATCGGTTCTGGTGAATTTTTTTGGCCCCAAAAGATAAAAACATAAAAAAACTGGTATACATAGACATATATAGAAGATACCTCAACATACATTTACTTTGAACATTTTAGAGTGATACTTGGTGATATTTTCCACATTTGGCAGGAAAACAGGAAAGTCAAAATCCATAGATTAAGAAGGCAGCGCGGTCGTTGGAAAAATCGAGAAAATTTATGGATTATCTTAAAGTACAATAAGTTGGTTTTTTATAGATAATCTCTAACAATTGGACTGAATTTTGCAATTTGGAACTGTAAATTCTGGCTCTTCTGGAAAAACATTTATGTGCATAGGGACACTAATGGCACACACGTTGTTTTTAAACCGGGCTAGAATTTATAGTTCCAGGTTGGAAAATGTAGTCCAATTAAAATAAATACAATATTTTTTTTTAAATTATTATTATTAACGCAAGAATCTGATATCACGAGCGAGCATCTTCACTCATGAGGACATTCTTACACAAGATCGGGAACGTCACCATTACATTCAAACACCTCTGCAATTTCAGATCGCGGTGCACGAGCGCAGTGACTTCTCAGTGTAATATGCAAATGTGCAGTTCCGACCCACTCAATATCACGTTCGCGCAGTCAGAGTCTCAGATATTCGAATGTGTATGGCGTGTTGCTGAACACGTGTAGAATTACTAATTACTTACGAGGGGGGAGGGGGTGTCTAAGAATGGAGAAGTGCCGGACGTGATTTATGGATGACCCCTAAAGAGTATGTTGGAGCGTGACCCGGGAAAGAAGTGTCCGGCAAAACGATGGAGATATTGCATGTGTGAGGGATTTGCGATTTGACCATTGGTTCTTCAGTAAAAGTTCGCGAGAAACACGATGGTGCCACTGGTTCTCTCTTAAATCATCTCCCAAGCTCAAAAAAAGCTCTAAAAGTGAGGCCAAAAATGGAGGAGATATCCCACGCGATCCTATGGGTCCACCTCTACATCAAGATAAACACTCCATGCAAAGATAGGGAGCAAATACATTGACAGGGCTGCCACTTTATTTGGTTAAACTGAAAACACGGCAGCCCTGTTAATGTATTTGCTCCCTATCTTTGCATGGAGAGTTTGTCTTGATGTAGAGGTGGACTCTCAGGATAGCGTGGGATACATACATACGAGTCGCTGTTATAGCGCTCTTTGGCGCTTTGCGACACCTAATCGCCACAAAGCTCGGTCTTCCCACAGGTTATCAGGGAGTTGACACTCCCTCATCTCACTTAACACCCCCTGTCGCCAACCTCTCACTGGGCGTCCCCTACGCCTCCTCCCAGGAGGAACCCAATCAAGCATCTTTTTTGGCAGCCTCTCTTCCGTCATCCTATTGACATGACCATACCAAACAAGTTGTTTGGTCATGACGTCGAACACGATGTCATTTTCGACTTCCATTATCTGACGCACTCTATCATTACGGACCCGATCTCTCCTAGAAATTCCTGCCGACCTTCTCCAGAAATCCATCTCCGTTGCTCTTAGCATATCCTGTGTCCGTTTCTTCAGCTGCCAAACTTCACATCCGTATGTTAATATACTTTTTACTACAGTGTTGTATATCCTCCTCTTGTTATCTTTGGAAATCCGCTGATCCCAGAGGATTCCATTTAACATCGCTATAGCCTTCCTTGCTAAGGTGTTCCTTTCCCTGATAGCTTGATCCGTCCTTCCATCCTGGGTCAACCGCACTCCCAAGTACTTGAAGTGCTCGCAGCATTTGATCTGCTGCCCATCCTCCAACTCAATGCTTTGCTGATCACCACCAAAAGTCATCTTCTCAGATTTGGATATGCTGACTTCCAAACCCCACTTCCGATATTCTTCTACTAACTTGCGCATCATGTACTCCGCGTCTTCTTGATCTTGAGCAACCACCACCTGGTCATCAGCAAAGCACAGAGTGAACATAGTTTCTAGATCACCCAAGGGGACACCCATACCAGAACACTTCCTTTTCCATTCCTTTAGCACACATTCGAGGTAAATTTTAAATAATGTTGGCGACAAACAACATCCCTGTTTTAAACCCTTAGTCACATAAAATCCCGCTGACAACCCCCCATGATACTTAATTTTGGTAAAACTCCCTTTATAAAATCGCTTGACAGCATCAATCAACCCCCCGTTAAAATTCGATTATTCCAAGGCCTCCCAAAGTTTCACCAACGGCACACTGTCATACGCTTTCTGGAGATCCACGAAAATTAAATGCAGCTCCTGAGCTACGGCCATTTTCTTCTCAATGACCTGGACAATAACAAAGAGGTGATCTATCGTAGACCTGCCAGCTCTAAAACCAGCCTGCTCCTCTGCTTCGTGATCCTGCCATTCGTCCTCGATCTTCGCTTTCAGTATCTTCCCGTACACTTTGCTTATTGTCCCGGTCACTGAGAGCCCCCGGTAGTTGTTACAGTCGTCCTTCCTTCCCTTCTTTTTGTAGATGGCCTTGATCCAGGACTCCTTCCACTCCCTTGGTACCTCGTCACCCCTGATGCATTGCTGCATCAGTTTCCTGAGGCACTCAAAGAGCTTGGCAGTCCCGTACTTGACCAACTCAACAGGAATCCCGCCAGGACCCGGCGCTTTATCATTAATTAGCTCTTTAACCGCTTTAATTATGTCACAAGTGTGAATCTCCAAGTTGTTCATTCTTCCGTTGTTCGTGCTGCTGTCTCGAAACTCTGGGCGCCTTTCCGTCACGTTAGCGTGGGATATCCCCTCTATTTTGGCCTCACTTTGAGAGCTTTTTTTTTGGGCTTGGGAGATGATTTCAGAGAAAACCAGTGGCACCATCGTGTTTCTCGCGAACTTTTACATAAGAATCAATGATCAAATCGCAAATCCCTCACACATGCTATATCTGCATTGCCCGAGCTTTGAATTGCATATCAGGAAAATGTGGAACAAAATTTCGGAATCAGTCCAGCTTCAAAAATTCGAGGGTCTTTAAAACGTAACGACCAAAGAACTTCGGGTCGCATTTCTGACAAGTTGCAAAAAAAAAAAAATACCTAGTACGGCAACCTTTCGTAACATCAATGGTTTGTCACCTTCGCGTTTCGGGATGTGAAGTGTCGGAAAAACGTATCAAGGTGCTAAAAGATTAGAATAGAGAACAATGCGAGCTTTGAAAAAGGCGCAGAGCGCATGGAAACCGTTCTCGTTAATTAGATCCCATTATGAAAAAGTTGATGATTTAACACCTCTTGATAATGACCCACCAACATAGTAATTGTTGTGAACTAATTATTGTGGTATAGACGCAACCCATCCCGTCGTTTGGACAGTAAGTTGGTATATGTAATACTCAACAAAGTCATAATGGTTCGGGAAAATCGAAAAGGATGTACTTATAGATCATTCAGCCCAGAAGAAGACTTGCTCTATTTTCTGATGATAAGTGTATGAATCCAGAATCATTATACTTATATCTTTCTCGGAAACATCAAACTTTTCACTTACTTTATCAAAATATTCAAAACGGCGAGGAAAATTTTACTGCGTTTTTCAGAAAATTGTTCCTTATAACCTACTTAATTATTTTTTCCCCACCATTTTTGGTTTCTCAAACATAAGTGGAACGGATTACACTTCTTCCAGAAACTTTATCGGCCATGTTTATCAAATTAGTGTAAAACCTTTTGAAAAATCGGTAAGAAAAAGGTTCTACACTAATTTGATTTCAAGAACAGATTTTATCTGATTCCTTCTTCTCTGACAGTTCTTCCATCATCCTCCAAAAATCAATATTTCATATTCTCAAATATATTGTATGGATATGGCCATTGATTGAAGTTCTGTACGTAATTCATACTTTTTTCAAGGTCCATCGACTTGCAAATTGGTTTATGAAATTTTATTGGACGGCGTGCTGGGACCACAGATACTCTACTTTGCTCGAATATATAAAGAACACAACCGCCAGAGAGTATGGAAACTGTAAGTATCGAATCAGCTTGTGTCGATCAAGGAGTTTAACTACGTATAGTTTATTTCAAGATTTAAGGGTGCAGGAGGGATCCATATTGCCCGAGTCTTCAAGCGTTGATTCATTTGGTCAAAACTAGACTGTTTCAGTTCAGGAAGCGATTCTCCCTGAAATTAGGGTCCTTCAACTTCACAAGATAAAAATGGGTCACAAAACCTTGTGTATTTTAATTAGTGTTTTGACAGTACAAGGTGAGCAAATCACGTGGTGATTTATTGTGTATTATCGGAGCAAAAATACCGGACAAGCCAGCTTTTGATAAGTGCAGCACTCGAAATGCTCAAATTATCTAAATCGAAGTTTTCCATTCAAGAATGCTTGTTAAATATTTTTCGTAAAAACAGTTTATCTGAAGCATAAAATGGGTCCATTTCAAGCAAGAGAGTCGCATGAATGGACCTACTAGGTAAAATGACATAAAAATCAAGCTTTTAGAGCATATGCTGCGTAGATTGGCACACGATTTGATAAACTGCACGTGTCGGAAGGCAGTTTCCGGCCTCTGTTTCTAGAAACAGGCAAAAGCTCCCCCAAACACTCGAATTGCAAAAATTATCCAAGTCGAAGTTTTCCATTCAAGAATGTTAGTCAAATATTTTCCGTAGATACAGTTCATCTGAAGCATAAAATGGGTTAATTTCATGCAAGACAGTCGCATGATGGTATGAGGTAAAATGACATAAAAATCAAGCTTAGTTTTAGTTCAATAAGACAATATAAGTCTTATTCTGATTTGTTACTTTCTTGAAACATATTGCGCAATTTCGTTTACTGGCGAACTTCGATTTATTTACAGTCCGGCAGTTGTATTACCAGACATGCACAGAGTTCGGTTGGTGGCACCATACATCTAGTAAAAAAAGCGACACATTTAGTGATAAACTAAGCATGGATTTTTACTCTAACATCTGCAAGGATGCTTACGATTCCAGGTATCTATCCTTTTCATAACATGTATTCCCCGAGAAAGTTAGAACCTGTGCGAGTTACTCCAAAATTGAGGAATCAGTTTGCAGCTGATTGCAACGTTAGGCACCAATTTTAAAAAAAATTCCGCGAATTTATCTAAAAGGTTATTCAAAAGTCATGCACCACTGACCCTGAGGGGTTCGGCCATCTGAAAGTTTTGAGTTGCCCCCCACCCCCCTCCCCTGCGGGGATCAGAAACTGGAAAATACCTACACAAGTTTCCCTCATGATGTGAGGAAAAGCGTTTTGAACCGCAAATCTTATGATGATTAGAACTAAAGTTATGGCCTGTGGTGCGTGACTTTTGAATAACCTCGTATCAAATAAAAAATCGAAAATTTCGACGCGATATTTTCGTTCGTTCTTTTATCTTTGGATGTAACCAAAAGGTAAAAAATAAAAACCATCCACGAGTTTCTGAACCATTAATGAGGCTACATGTTTTCCTTTCAATAATGGTAAAAACCGAGACGGAAAGTCAAGAATGATGACACGCAACCTTACAACATTCCTACAGTATTGTAGACGCTAATATAAGTTCACGCCAACTGACAGACTTCACTGCGTTTGGCGCAATGCGAGAAGTATTCATGCAGTCTTGTAGGCGCTAATATGCGCTCAACACCGACCGTAGTGTTTGGCGCAATGCGTGAAGCATTCCTAGAGTTCCGCAGGAACTAATATACGCTTAACGCCGGCTACACTGGTGAAAATTCCTTAGAGACTACACAATATGAAATATTTACTACCAAGGCTGTCTGAAATACATAGATTCCCGAGTCTCTGCAATCTTTTATTTCGAGAAACAAGGATCATTCATTTACATACGAGGACTGTTCCGCCAAACAGCATAATACTGATGTCAACGTCGCTAAGAGTTGATAACACTTCCATCTTAGGACAAGTAAACGAAGTCGCCCCCCCCCTCCCCCGCACTGTACATTTCTCTGCCAAAATGTAAGGAAAAGTGTAGATAAAATTTCAGAACAGCCTTACAGCTCTCTACTAACCTAACAGTTGAATGCAATTACAATCTCAGCGACGCTGACATGGGTATTGGCTGTTGGGTTCGCTGGGAAAAAAATTACATTGGATCTAGGGTCCAGACTCTTAAAAACATCGACAAGACCATACCAGACAAGCTGTTTGGTCATAATTTCATGCACAATATCACGCACTCTTTCGTTCCTGACGTGATCCCTCCTCGAGATTCCGGCTGATCACTGGAAAAAAAAAAAAAAAAAAAAGCACATAGGATCTAGAGTCCAGACTCTTAAAAACATCGACAAGAAAAAGTACTCTTGATTCAATCAGAATCAAGCTTAAATCAAGAACCAAGCCTCTTAATTTAAGCGGATTCCGTTTTGATTCAACCAAAAATCCGATTGAATCAAGAGTATTTTTTCTTCTCAATGTTTTCAAGAGTCTGGACTCCAGATCCAATGTGTTTTTCTTGCCAGTGTTGGAGAGGTCCTCATGTGCATGCGTCATTTTAAACGAGGATTCCAATGTTTTGATGTTTTCCTATTTCAGATTCAATGCGTCGTTCATGGAGTCGGCTGCCCGAGAAACAAACATTCACTACGGAGGAACTTCGCTGGATGTTAGCAGAGTGTTGTTCGTCCACGGAACATGGGATCCCTGGGCTACTCTCGGCATCACCAAAGAACCTCCGAAAGGAAGTATTGCTGTCTTCATTAAAGGTATAGACATTCTTCCATCAAAATAATGGACCGCATTAGACAAGGTACGAGTTTAAGCATTCTGATGCATGTTTTTTAATCAAGAATTGTACGTAGAACACGATTCTTCCGTCGAAAATAACTGAAATCAACTCCTAACTAAGATAACAAAGCCGCAAGGTTGGTGGCTGTTTCTTCATCTGCTTCTCATGCTAGGATCTTGGCATAGCACTACAAGCCACTGCAGGGAATGCCTCTACTGGGTATGCCGAGTGTGGTTTACTGCTCGAATCCTCGGTTGAAAGATCGGCTGGAGACAGAGAGCGCGTTATCCTAAAAATTCTGGTCGTACCAAAGGATGATAATACTCGTGTACTTCATTATGACAATGGAACAACCATAGGGCCAAAAAGTACTGGATCTCCCGACTCATCTTTCTTCGAACCGCGGCTGGAAGAGAGGTTAAATGTTATTACTGGAGAATAAAAAATCAGTGATATTGAAGTACACAATTCTAACACCGATATCATTTACACAAATACGAGCGATGATACAAAGTGTCTTAACATACCACGAAATCATTTAAATAATGATGTGTCGCATACGGAAAATTTTTCAAATTGCAGACTGCGCGGCAAATATGCTCTCAGGTGAATTGTAGCAATTTTCTGTCCCATCCATTTTAAATGTTACCGTACACTGGAAAAAAAAACACGTTGGATCTAGAGTCCAGACTATTGAAAACATTGACAAGAAAAAATACTCTTGATTCAATCAGATTTTTGTTTAAATCAAAAGGAAATCCGCTGAAATTAAGAGGCTTGGTTCTTGATTTAAGCAAAAATCCGATTGAATCAAGAGTATTTTTTCTTGTCAATGTTTTATGAGTCTGGACTCTAGATTCAATATGTTTTGTTTTCAAGTGTATAAATAAATTACTTCCATTACACTGTATTTTAGGAGGAAGAAATTATTTTCCGTAATCGTTGTTCTACTGTTTATAAATGAACTCGAGAGTGTCAGCTTTATTGTATGTGGCATCGGCGGCTACGAAGTCCGCTTCCCCCGCAGGAATCGGAGAAGAGATGCTGAGGAGGGATTCCGCATGCTGAGGCGGCGGGATGCTTGAATTCGCGCGCCAAGAAACATCAAATATCTTGGTCAGGAGACAATTTCAGTAATTTTCGTTGCTCGAATCGTGTTCATTGTTGAATTTTACTTAAGAATCATTAATCAGAATACTCAACTTCGTACCGTGTCTGGTGGTATATTCGAAGATTCAACGGAGACCCGTTCCTGACCTAATACAGCGCTTTCTACACTGAAAGAAAAACAACACATTGGATCTAGAGTCTAGACTCTAAAAACATCGACAAGAAAAAATACTCTTGATTCAATCAGATTTAAGCTTAAATCAAGAACCAAGCTTCTTCATTTGAGCGGATATCCTTTTAAGCATAAATCCGATTGAATCATGAGTCCTTTTTCTTGTCAATGTTTTCAAGAGTCTGGACTCTAGATCCATTGTGTTTTTTTTCCAGTGTATGGTTGAGAGGTATGATGTAGTAACAAGAGATGAACTGATGAACATACAGGGTGACGAGTCCTTGTGACAGATACCATCCAAAGGCAAGGCGTAAGTCGATTATCGATATTTCCCTTTTTGAAAATATGGTACAGAATCGGTTATTGAGGTGTACGTTGCGGTCACCCTGTTAATCGGTCCTTTTCCGTAGGTTCAAATGGCAGATCAATCAATATATCACGGAGCGCTCCTCGACACTGGTACCCGAGCGGAGAAAAAACCGCCTAAGTTTTCGATACAGTGGAAGGACAAGGGGGAATAACGGGAAGCAAGGCTAAAAATACACAATTACTGAAAACCGAGACTTTCCGACTCATAACTGAGTCATTTTCAGTCAGAAATACGATAAAAATTTTAAAAAAACGATGAAAACCTGAGCCTTACACATCGGTGGCCGGGATCCGAGAGAACGAAAAAAATGATGAAAAATGAATTTGTACTGTATTTCCGACTGAAAATGACTCAGTTGTGAATTGAAAGTTGAAACGTCTCGGTTTTTTATGAGTGTGTATTTTAGCTTTGTTTCCCGTTTTCCCCCTTGTTTTTCCACTGTTTCGTGTACACGGATCGGAAGTCTGCTGGATGAAACCCGAATCGCATTTAAGTAATAAGATTTTTTGCGACACAATCTAAGGTTCGTAAGTTCAAAAAAAAACTCAAGTGCTCCACATAAACTGAGGTTCAGTCCTCGTGAGTAATATTCTTTCCCTCTTATAATTAAAAGCTTGAATGAAAGAAATAATGTGAAACAAGCTTTTTAAACTAAAATAATGGAAATTAATATTTAAGGGAAAAAACTCCGAGTTGACCACCTCAAATTTAGTTTCAGTGTGCGGCGAAAACTGCCGCTGATTGCGCACGAAATTTTTGTCTTAATATTTTGTTAAAAAACGTACAAAGAAAGATGACCATTACTAATGATATTTTTCTCTTACAGGGGTAGGCCACTGTGCAGATGCATTTCCAAGTGGGCCGAGTTCTATGGTGCAAATAAAAAAGGCACAGGAGAAAATGTCACGTATTTTACAAAAATGGACGAGTGGGAAGATACAGGAGCATGAAAATCAATCAGTTTTCTACTTTTAGAAATCATTTGTCCTACATGTGAATATTGAGCGTCGTCCAAGATTGTTTTAAAATACTCAAAAAGAAAAAAATAAAATAAAATAAAATAAAATAAAAAAATAAAAATAAATCCATCTACATTCAATCCGTGCATGTAATTAGAGCTCAAGATATTAAAGATAAAATCAATAATAAGGCACATACGCACGGAGAGCCTCTTTAATGGATGTAAAACATCATCGTTCGTCTACAATTGGACGTATTTATGCTAAAAGGAACTAAGTGCATACAATTTGCGAGGAACATAGTTCCTTCCAGCATAGATACGTCCAATTACAGTTCATCTAAAATGGAGAATGCACTAAAATCTCCATATCGGATCAAGGATGAAGTAGTAGTAGAATCTGACAAATATTTTCCAGCTGAAAGAAAAAATTATTAATAAAAGTTATTTTTTTCTTCTCTTATCATATCGCGATTTGGTATTTCTGATGACACGATTAGAAATGGTGATCTGATTCAAGTACTTCACTGTGGTATTCCGTAATAGTCTGACGAAGAGAAAAATTAATGATTAGAGACTATTTTTCTCTTCCTCCTTTCATCGGCCGGATCTTCATGCCATGGCTGTAGTAGTCGATATATTTTAGCAAATAATGCAATAGGGTGTCTTTCGAGTGCATTTAATGCAGCCTTGTCGTGAGGATGCGACCCCCATCTTTTAACCGCTATATTAGTGAGTCTCTGGTTAGTCTTGCGCAAGGATTAGGTTACTCTATATCCTTACGCGAGAATGACTGCAGGTTCAGAACCCAATTTTCGCTATACATCAGGCTCACTTAAACATTTCAGTCAAATGCCTCAAAAATGGTTCGAGTTCCATGGTTGTATAGTAAAGCACTCTCGTGTGGATGATAAATTAGCGATCAATACTTCAACCTGCGTTGTACTTATCACTCCCCACGCGACTTTACGACATCCTCGCATCCCTCCTGCCACCTGGTATTGCCGCTCCTCTCACAGTAGACGAGTTCGTCCAGATGCGTCGGACCTTTCTCTTGAAACGGACTCAAGACGTAATGGAAGAGCAAAATGGCGTACGGCCAGCGAATTTTAATCGAATGTCCCGAAACCAGATTCTGCCCAATCCAATCGCCGAAACCCTTTCCTCGATCGGTTCATACACCTCCATGACGCTCGGCATCAGATTCGATGTTACCGCACCGGACAGACCAGCATGGTGGACTTTAGATGAGGCCATCTGAGCAAACTTTAACCTCTTTTGCTCCCTCACCAGTTCACAATACATGAATGCTTCCGAACGCATTCGTGCTTTCACAAATGAACCTAAGATGGTTGATGCGTTTCTTAGGTTTGTGAATGATGATATGTTTGTTAACACATACAATCACCATAACACGCACCAATACAATCAGTATACAATCACCATAACACGCACCAATACAATCAGTGCCACCTCATCATGACCGAACTTCTAAACCTCAATCCTATCAGGAATCAATACCTCCTTAATTAGTTACGTTGGCCGTAGAACTAAATTAGCTAGTAATCAATATGTATATACGTTGCACCGTTGTGCCTATCTTTATTAGTTTTCTTAACGTTCATTAGACTTAAGATATTTTCAAGTTTAAAACAATTTAAAATATTTGAAGCCTCCAAAACCTTAAGGGCCTCCTCCTCAGAGAGCGTTCTAATTCCTAAGGTTTACATCAACAAGCGATTTTCCACGCACACTCAATTACAAAATATACACATTTAAAATTCATTTTCTTTTGGTTTAGGTTCTAAAAAGAATAGAATTCTAAAAAGAAACGGGTTGGAATTCTAACAAGTTGGTACCTTGAAGAATGACGTCATCGAGTGCCTCTGCCAAGATGTTGATGATGATGAATTAAGTGTATAAAATAGTGCATCCTAATTTTTTACGGCACAATGTTAAATTTACGAGGTTTATGTTTACACGATCTGCTCATAGATTCAAGAAGCGATTTTAATGCTATGATTTCGTTATTGACTGAAGCGGAGAACATTTTTGATACTACCAAAGCTTATGCGTTCGAGAAGCCAACTGACGTTGTAGCAACAGCAATTCCGCTTTTGCGAGCATTCCCTAGAAGGAAAAGTTTTACTGCGTGGCCAAATCTAATCCAACATTACTCTATTAAACTACATAATGATTTTTTCAAGAACGCTACAGCCATTAAGTGCCAAGATGTTGATTATGATGAATTAAGTGTATAAAATAGTGCATCATAATTTTTTACGGCACAATTTTAAATTCACGAGGTTTATGCTTACACAATCTGCTCAAGCATAGATTCAAGAAGCGATTTTAATGCTATGATTTCCTTACTGACTGAAACGGAGAACATTTTTGATAATACCAAAGCTTATGCGTTCGAGAAGCCAACTGACGTTGTAGCAACAGCAATTCCGCTTTTGCGAGCATTCCCTAGAAGGAAAAGTTTTACTGCATGGCCAAATCTAATCCAACATTACTCTATTGTACCACGTTAGGATTCTGTCAAGAACGCTACAGCCAGAGCAGATCATTTCAACAGGATCGGGATTCCGCTGTATTCTAGTTTTCTTGACTGTATAGCGGTTGATCGCTCGTCAATTGAGCATGATTTTCTACTCAAGCGAGCGAAAGACGAAACTCTATCGCATGGATCCATGCCACTAACAGCGTGGTACGCGCTGTTTTGCGGTATTATGGATCCTTGTGCAACGGAACTGCAACTCATAGCTGGCTACATTAAAGCGATTACAAATAATAAGAAGTATATTGATTCAAAGAACAAGGAAGACCAGATCATATGGGTGAGAAGTGCTGACTCATCTGAGCTCACATACGTTAATGGTTTTTATAACATTCATGATATAATAGAATGTCTTCTTCATATAGCTGAGACGCGACTGGGTTTGGATAATCGCAATGTCATAAGCATTTCATTGACTCAAATAGATTTAAACGATGTTTTGGATGAGTTGGCTATTAATGTCGCGCACTCATCGAAAGTATTCGTCAGTAAAATTAGAATAAATATATATAGGGTTGGCAATACGATTCGCTGGAATGTTTGTTGACGAGTTATCCTTGTACAAACATCCTGGGCATGTGAATAATAAATGTATCGTATCTACCCGTCTTTTACGTGAAATGTTGAAACGGATTACTTTAAAGTCTTCAAGGATTGCGAGACTTGTAGAAAATTAAGAAGTGACGGGAGGGAAAAGCTAAAACGATGGAATCTCCCTAAACTGGATCATCTAATCGCCAAGTTGCTGTCCTCGTCGCTTCTCACCGATACAAAAGACGATTTTACACGTGGTCTCAGTTTTCTCCATTCTATCATAGAGATAGCGGGGTACGGTAGATCATTACGACAAACTAGCTCTTCAAAAATCCCAGAAACTCCTTCTGTGGATCTACATGGATTAGCTGATGGAATAAAAGGTGTAGTTAAAGCCCTTCACCATCAGGCGGTTAACACGGGATACATCGTAAAACCACAGGAGTGAAAATCCGTGTGTTCTACCGCTTGGCGATCGACTAGTTCTGGCGTTAGCGCAGAGAAATCCGAGGTTATGGTTAATGGCGTTAGGAAGATAGTTCCTATAAAAAATGAAATGTCTATTGGTTCTCTGTTGGGTGAGCGTATGTTCACTCGCGAGTTACTAGACGTCAAGCGTACGAAACATAATCCTTGCAGTTTCGGTATAAGATGTGTTCCCTATAAGGGCATCCGTCTCACATTCGTTCTGCTAATTACTGCGGTTAATGTACAGATAGCGGTGGCTAATCACTTAGTTAGAGTGATAGAAGAACCTGCCGCTTGGGACGGCGCCGTAGATGCTCCGTGATACTAGCCACATTCACAAGATCGAGGAGTACTACGGGCGTAAGGATCTCTGACAATAGAGAGACTATCGTCGCTTGTGGTTCTGCAGACGTCCTACCTTTGGATATTGATTTTAAAAGTTTTGATCAAAACAGTATAGGATGGAATGGAGATGTTGCATGTGTGAGGGCTTTGCGATTTGACCATCGATTCTTACATAATAGTTCATGAGAAACACGATGGTGCCACTGGTTTTCTCTGAAATCATCTCCCAAGCTCAAAAAAAGCTCTCAAAGTGAGGCCAAAATGGAGGGGATATCCCACGCTATCCTGGGAGTACACCTATACATCAAAACAATCTCTCCATGCCAAGATAGGGAGCAAATACATTAGCAGGGTTGCCGTGTTTTCAGTTTTGGAGTCCCCAAATGAAGTGGCAACCCTGCCAATGTATTTGCTCCCTATCTTTGCATGGAGAGTTTATCTTGATGTAGAGGTGGACTCTCAGGGTAGGGTGGGATATCCCCTCCATTTTGGTCTCGCTTTGAGAGCTTTTTTTGAGCTTGGGAGATGGTTTCAGAGAAAACCAGTGGCACCATCGTGTTTCTCGCGAACTTTTACATACGAAACAACAGTCAAATCGCAAATCCCTCACACATGCAACATCTCCATTACTACGGTTAATGCACAGATAGCGGTGGCTAATCTCTGAGTTAGAGTGATAGGAAAACCTGGCGCTTGGGACGGCGCCGTAGACGCTCCTATTAATACTAGCCACATATTCACAGGATCGAGTAGTAGCACGGGCGAAAGGATCTCTGACAATAAAGAGACTATCGTCGCTGGTGGTTCTGCAGACGTTCTAACTTCGGATATTGATTTTAAAAGTTTTGATCAAAACAGTATAGGATGGAATTTTAGACAGCTCTTATTGGAATCCTTGAAAGAAATATGACGGCAGCAGAAATATAAGTTCGGGAAAGATGAGATTACTTACGATGAGATGGTAGAATATGCTTACGGCGAAGGGTATGTATGCAAGACTTACTGGGATAACGGTAGGGCTGCTTTTACGTATTTCAGAGCTGACGATTATGAAAAATTAGACACGAAAGCAAAGGAGTTTGTTGATCAGAATTTTGTCCGCTATCGCGTCGGCAGCGATATTTTAGTGGATTAAATAGTTTCAACGCTCCTAAAAAGATCAAAGCGAATTCAGACGTTTATAAAATGAAAGAGGGAGTCAAGCTTACAATCAATGATAAAAAACTCCTGCCGGTTAGTCTGAGCGTGGGTTCCGTCCATAACGGTTCTGATCTCGTTCTCATTGAGTGCGAGCGCATCAGGCGAGCTCACAACGTTATTTATGAATTCTGTCCAAAATGCAGCAATGCAGGATATTGCT